GTACCAGGTGTTGACCCGAACCGGGGGATTATGCGGGGGCGGGCTCGGGTAGGGAAAATGGTGACCCGGCCCGGCCGGGTCAGGCCTGGGTCTGGGTCCAACGGTCACTTTTTTTTTTAAAATTCAGCCCAAACACAGTCCTAGCCGTTGGGCTGTGCTCCCAAACGGCTATATAGCCATTGGGTGGGTGGCAAGGGGGGTCCCGGGCTTTTGGGGGGGGAGGGGGGAGGGTGGAGGTTAAAAAAACTATAAATACTCCTAATTTTGAACATTTTTCCACATCTCTTCTCCAACACTTCCTAATTCCTACTCTCTACTCTCTAATCATTTCCATCTTCATCTTCTCAAAATCTCTTATTCTCCATTATATTTTACTATTTAATACTTATACAATTATTATGTCTACTTATATACGTAGTATTAATTATCTACTTAATTATAAATACATATATTATATTACTTATATTTCTTATCTACTTATATATTAATTATCTACTTATAAATACATATATTATATTACTTATATTTTTTATCTACTTAATCTCTACTTATATCTACTTAATTCATACATACTACATCTACTTAATATATACTTTATATATTAAAGTATTAAATATAAGTGTATTACTTATGATAGTATACTTATCTATTATATACTATAAACATTATATTATATATTAGTTATACAATTGTTATATCTACTAATATAGTTGGAATTATATCTAATTAATTCGAACTATATTTATTACTATATTAAGTATATATATATATATATTAAGTATATATATATATATATATATTCGATTTTTACTAATATATTACTTTTATTACATCTAATTAGTATATTAAGTATATATATATATATATATATACTTACACAATATATTATATATTAGTAACACTTTAATTAACATTAGTTAAATCCATTCTATTACTCCCATTAATTAGTATACACATTCATGCATAATACATTTGTCTTATTAGTTACATTTTGTAATAAAATTACTTGATTAGTTAATTAGTATTCCCACTAATTGTTACGTTTTTCAATAAAGTAGTTAATTAGTTCATTACACTTTTTTTTATTAATTGCTACCTTTGTCTCTACTTTAAAAAACTAGTTAATTGTCATTATAGTTAAAGTCACACTATAATAGTTTGAATTTTTATTTGAAGAAAAAAGAGTAGTTCAATTAATTTTATTAAAGTACTTAACATTTTATTAAAGTATTTTTCACTAAATTAAAGTACTTGGAAAGTTGCTATAATTCAATTACTCACATTTTAATAATAATAATAATCACATTTTAGTTAAAGTCACACTTGTTAGTTTTAAGTATTTATTAAAAAATTGTATTGATTAGTTCGAATTTAAGTCACTTTTTAGAGTCACACTTTAATTTATTACTTAATTAAAGTACTTCACATTTTATTAAAGTAGTTTTCATTAATTAAAATAGTTTTAATTAATTGCATTACTTTTGTACCCATTCATATATTTGTTGCAATTTAATATTTGTTACATTTTTAAGATGAAAGGTGGTAGCTATTTGGTTGATATGGGTAACCTCCACCGCAACCGAAGGAACCAGATTGGGAGGAAGAATTCTCGCAAATGTAAAGCACATATCGGCTCTTCATCTCAAAACCGAGATGATTTTGAAACGGGTTACCAAAGGAGGGATGAGGATGCGATGTCCGACAAACAACTACAACAAGAATTGACCCGACAAAATAGCCGCTTTTTTCAAGAACAACAATTCCCGATGACCATTGACGAAGAAGAGCTCGAGGATGAAGATGCGGAGGAAATGGAACCGGAGATGACCAAAGAGGAGGGTGGCGGCAGCCACGACGCGGACGAGCCTGCATCATCCCAAACCGGTAAGAAAAAAAGTAAATCTGAACTAATGGAAAATAATTTTGATAAGTGGAAGGACACGAAGACCGGGAATTAGTACGCAACTTGCAAGTGGTGCAAGAAAGATTATAGCTTGGGGATTTCCGGCGGAAACGGATCCGCCGCAAGGCATCTTAGGTCCAAACACATCGTGGAGTATGCAAAATTAGACAAAGAAAATGGGAAGCAAACTCAAATATCGAGGTTTGCAAATAATCAACCTTTTGGTAATTTCTCATACAATGATGCACAAAATTTGAGTGGTATGTCTAACTTAATTGTTGAAGAAAATTTGTCATATTTGTTTTCAAAAAGTCTTGCTTTAAGAGATTATGTTCAAGGTAGTTTAAATCCTCAATTTAGAGGTTATAGTCGCAAAACGGTTAAGAAAGAAATTATAAGGCTATATGGTTTGGAAAAGGCAAGGTTACAAAATTATTTTGCAAACTTTGATGGGCGTGTTACTATTTGTTCTGACATATGGGAGGATACTTATCATAATTTACATTATTTGGATATGACTGCACATTATATTGATGATGATTGGAATATGCATAAACGTGTTCTTGCTTTTCGTGAATTTAATGATCATCGCACCGCTGATAATATTTATATTTTGATTGAGCGTATTTTAATTGAGTATAATTTGATTGATAAAGTGTTTGCTATTGGTTTTGATAATGCCACTAATAATACTGCTGCTATACCTAGATTGCGTGAATTGTGTGGTTCTAATACTTTGATGGGTAGATTTTTTCATCAACGATGTGCATGCCATATTATAAATTTATGTGTGCAAGACGGTCTAAAAGTGTTGGGAGATGCTATGCAGATTGTGAAGGTGGGGAATAGACGTATTTGGGATGGTGGTCAACTTAAATCACAATGGCAAAATTATTTGATCGAAAGACGTGTGAAATATGTTGCTTTTCCTAAAGATTTGTCTATTCGTTGGAATAGTACTTATAAGTTAATTAAAGTTCTTCTTAGATATAAAGAACATTTTCCTGCTTTTTTAAAACAATATGATAACTATATTATAAACTCGGCTGACATCGACACTTGTGAAAAAATTGTAATGTTTTGGTATATTTTTTTTAATGCAACTAAAACTTTTAGTCATGTTTATAAACCTATTTCAAACCAATTTATTCGTGAAGCTGTTAATCTCACCGGTGCTTTTAATAAATTTTCGGATGCCGCTTAAGTGAGTTATTTTTGTAATTTTATGAAGGAAAAGTTTTTAAAATATTATGCCATGCACATATTCCGCATATTTATGGTATTGCATTTATTCTCGATCCTCATTTTAGACTTTGTTCTTTGGAAGAATGTTTGAAGTTCTATTATCGTGCTTTTTTTGGTGAATTTTCAATGTATGATGAAAACCCCATAGATCCGAAACAAGAATACAACGAGGTTAGTACATTATTTTATGCCTTATTTAATGAGTTTCATGCACAATATGGCACCCCCCCCCCCCCCCCCCCCTTGACACGAACATCTTCATCTAAAAAAAATCAATTTTAAATCTGCATTTGACAGTCTTATGAAAAAAAACTAAAACAACCCCCGCTACTGAACAAAGCTCAGTTAATGAGATTGCTTTGTATTTAAGATATGATGTTGATTTTGAAGAAAATGATGATTTTGACATTCTAAAGTGGTGGAAGGAAAAAGAAAGAATGTTCCCGGTTTTAGCAAAGATGACTAAGCAAGTGCTATCAATGTTGGTTTCAACAGTTGCCGTAGAACAAGAATTTAGTTTGGCCGGCAACGTACTAACGGAATCTAGAACGAGATCGAGCGCAAACTCTCTTGAAACGCTTGTTGCTACCACGATTGGTTGAAGACCCAACGTAGAACTCAAGAAATTAACATCATGATATCGAAAGACTTTATGGATGAATCAACAACCGAGGGTGGCTCTACCTATGCCGGAGATTCTGATTGATTAGTATTTTACAATTTATTATAAAATGTATTTCATGTTTTAATTTTCCCTTCAATTCTCAATTGTAATTTGTATACTTGTAGTTCATATTTCAAATAAATATATGTTCGTTTTTTATATGTAGCACTTCTTAAATTAATTAATAAATTTTACAATATGTATTTTTTCTCAATTCTCAAATGTAGTTCCTATTTCAAATAAATGCACTTGAACTCTTGAAGTTTGTTTATAATATGCAACACTTGTATAAATAAGTACCAAAAACCCAAAAAAAAAATTGGAAATTGACCCGGCCCGAACCGGCACCGGCCATAGCACGGGCCGGTCCCGGGCTTCCTTCAAAAACCCTGAGGCCCGACCGGGCTTAGGCCCGGTCCGGGCCCGACCCGATTCCATGACTACAATAAATATATAGAAAAATGATTATAATAACACTTCTTCCTCCCAGAGCCATAAAGCTTCCTTAGATTGCTGGTTGCTTGGGCGGCAGAGCTCTTGAGCTACGACGATGACTTCGTCTTCAATGTCGACGACGGAATCGCAGATGACTGTAAATGCGATTTTTTTCCGGAAGGGATGAATGATCCATATTTTGTGCGTGTAGTTGGTAAAAAGAAAGTACAAAAGAAAGGACAAAACAAGAAGGCGTGATAGAGACCATAAATGCTTGTCTGAAAGAAGAATGAAGTGGGGTAGAGGCTGGGGGAGAAGAGAGGAGAGCATAAAAAGAACAAGTGAGAAATGGAAAAAAGTAAAAACATTAAAAACAATAAAATTAGTTATTTATGCGCAAAATCCTTTCTAAAAATAAATTTAATTGCTAAATAATTAAAAAAATGTTTTTTGTATGGGTTAGAAATCTTATCAGAGTTACAAAATTATTTCAATTTGTCTGAGAGTGGATTTTATTCCTGCATAATTCTAATACAAAGAGTTTAAAGCTTTTTTAAATGACAATAGATTTTAGTGCGTTAAACTCGGATCATATGTTGGGAAACCCCACTTTTAGCTTAAAATAACGTGTTTGCTGGGACGGGTTGGAGTGAAAGTTTTTTCAGTCTTAACCTGGTTACACTTGACCTTACATGTAAGAATGGTTCATCTATGTTCGTACATGGAAACTAGTCAACACGCTAGGCTCCATAACTTTAACGCTTTATTGTTTTCAGTAGTGGAATTCTTAACATACACATTAGAGGATGAAGGAGAACTTTTTTTTTTCATTCGTTCATAAATCCGAGTAGCAGTTTTCCTTAAAGCATCATTAAATTTTCAGAACTCAAGCCATACTTTCTAGATTTCACTAACAACCATTGAAGAATCCTAAATGGACTGAAGCCATTTCTCCATACCCACTGCCATGAAAAAATCCCAAAGCTTCCTTGTCAATATCATCAAACCCCTTTTCTCGAGCTCGAGTAGAGGTACGTTTTCTGCTCGTGCAATTGCTTTGAGTTTATCAAGTGATTCGGGGTTCTTGTTTTTTTCCTTTAATTAAATTGCTATTTATTTGCTCAGCTTCTTTTTACCTTTCATTTTCTTCCCTCTTATGCATTATTTCGACAAATCATAAGGTTCAGGTCAAGACGGCTTGGAGAGAATTGCAGAACAGGAGCAGAAGCAGTTCCAGTTCGAAACCCTAGTCTCTGCAACCAATAATTTTCATCTCAGTAACAAGCTCGGGGAAGGTGGTTTTGGTCCAGTTTTTAAGGTAAAAGACAAAATTTCCCAACTTCTGAGATTTTGGAATCCTGAAAAGCTCATGGATTGTAATAAAACTACATGTGGATATACTATTCTGATGCAAAACTGGAAATCTAAATAGTGTATTGATCTTTGTAGGGAAGATTGAGGGATGGGAGAGAAGTAGCTGTGAAGAAGCTGTCACAGAGCTCAAGACAGGGAAATAGAGAGTTTCAGATGGAGGCCAAGGTATTGACTCGCGTTCAGCACAGAAATGTGGTGAATTTGCTTGGATACTGTGTTCATGGAGCAGAGAAATTGCTTGTTTACGAGTTTATGTCAAATGAGAGCCTTGACAAAATTCTCTTCAGTAGGTTCTTCTCCTTCTTAGAACTTGATTATGGGCCTTGATGTCTTGTTTTTTTGTGAGGTTTTGCATAGCTAGAACATTGACGAATTAACAGCTACCCTATACTTTTTCTTGAAATTCCCTTAACAAGTTCTATTCTATGTTATTGCTTATTTAATATCCCTTGGACAAAATTTGTTAGTTTTCAATTTTATGGCGTACATTTTACCAATTGGTAGTTGTGTTACTTATCGGTCATGGCCAGTTGACTTTTGTTAATTGCGCTAGTAGCACGTTTTTCCTAAAATTTAAAAATTTACATTTATGTCTGACGTAATATTCAAGGAGTTTATGTACTTCATAACCTATCTGCAGAAGAATGGATGATGAAATGAGCTCTACTCAATCATATTTTGGAGCCAATTGAATGCATTCCAAACTGAGTTCATGATAGACCTGCTACTGAATTTCCCTAGATACAGTTGTGTCGCTTGGGGAGAATTGTGGTGGGATGGATAAAGAACTCATCTATATAAATTGTCACACGATTTTTTCCCATTTGTAAAAAAAGTTTTTTGCCTTGGCCACGCCCATGCTTAGATAGATATATTTAGAACTTGATTTGTTAATACTTTACTAGTTGCTTCAGAAGTTTGAAGGAATTTGAACATAGTGGTTGTTCAGCTGTTTGTAAAGTTTTTTTTATTGACAAGAATGCTCTTCATCCCAGAGTCTGGTAAAAGGGGCATGCTTGACTGGGAAAGAAGGCATGGCATAATTACTGGCATAGCCAAAGGCTTACTATACCTTCATGAAGACTCACATATTTGCATAATCCACCGTGACATTAAGGGTAGCAACATCTTACTTGACGATAAATGGATGCCAAAAATTGCAGATTTCGGAATGGCCAGACTCTTCCCCGAAGATCAAACACATGTCAACACCCGTGCGGCTGGCACCAGGTATGTTCCCTTATAGTGCTTGTTCTACTATGTTAGATTCCCACATTGGGAAAATTAAAGACACAATGATGAGGTGCTAAGACTTTGGGTTGAACTAACTAAAGATTCAATTTAATACTTCCTCCTTTCTTGTTTAGTTGCAACACTTTCATTTTCATGTTTTCCAATGCACAACTTTGACCATTGTTATATTTCATTGATTATTTGTAAAAAAAAAAAAGATTCTGAAAATTTAACATTAGAGAAATTTAACAGTATTTTTCAAAAATTAAATTTCTACAGAGTACTACATTAATAAATAAAATATAGTCAAAGCAGAGCATGAGAATAGTGCAAAATTCAACATGTTGCATCTATTTAGAAACGGAGGTACTATTTTAATATGGTTTGGCCCAAGTTCCTTAGGCCCTGTTGAGTGACCCTAACCCGATAATGAATCTTGTCATGCTACAAGACTAGACTAATTGAATGTTTGTAGAAACCTTAATTTATTTGAAGACTTGGAACAGTGGGTACATGGCGCCAGAATATCTCATGCATGGACACCTATCTGTGAAGGCAGATGTATTTAGCTTTGGTGTTGTGGTTTTGGAGCTGATCAGTGGTCAGAAGAATTCAACCTTCAATCAAGATCCGGGTTCCCAAAACCTACTTGAGTGGGTATGAATCCAATGACCCATATTTTGACTTATGTGGCCTTCTGTGCTACTTTTTTAGTTCCATCCTTTCTACTGTGGTGCACCTTCACATATTTAGTAGATATTATAGTTTCAAATTTTATTAAATACATTTATTTAGCATTGTCCAGAAAGGCTGGAATTTGATGTGCTGTTTTTTGGTATTGGAAATAGTGCACATAAATCATACTACATAGTACATATCTAGAGTATATAATGCATTGTTGGTAGGATACTAGCATATATTTTCAGCATGACAATCTCGACAAGAACTTAGGACATACTACGTACTTGTTATGATTTTCTAATAGGCACTAAATTTCAGATCCCATTTGTTTAAGGGTGGATTTGGCTGAAATGAATTAAGTTACTATAATTGCAGAAGTTGCTTAATCATAAAAAATGTGGATAAAGATGCCTTTTTATTTGCTCAACTTCACTAAATTCAATATTACTTTTTCATCATCAAATATATAAGCCAATTCTCAACCCATGTCGACGGATAAGTTAGTGTTTGGTAAAAAAATACTCCGTATTAATAATGCTGATATAAAGCAATAAGAGGTCTCTGAACAGGCACTCAGTTCTTGAATTTTATACATTTCCTTCTGAGCAAATATTTAGAAATGACAAGAGTATGTTGTTGAATTTATATCTTCTGTTTTCTTGTATAAAAATAATGCCTTCTGTAATTAATGCTCTACCCCCAGAAATGCTTTGTTTTTATTCCTTTTAGCTCTTTAAACATTCTTCTGGATTAAGACACTTTTTTTGTTAACTTCTAAAATTTTACATTATATGACAGTAAATCACTAATTCCACTGAATATCTCTATTTGATAATCATTACTAACCACCAGAACTTAACATATTATCAGTTAGATTGTTGGTTTGGAACTTTGGAGGTTTCAAAGTGAAGGAAAGAAAAGGGAAAGATTAATTTCTATTTAACTACGTAGTAATGCATCTCTATTTGTTTGCTTTAGACTACATATAACCATATGATGAAGACCATGCATTTCTACATAGCTTTTTTATCTTATACTCTATTTCTAAAAATCTAAGTGTCGAAATTTTTAAAAGATACATAGTGTCCCTCCCTTTTCCCCCCTCCCTGAGTCCTGTAACCAAACAGGCCGTGAAAAACATAATCCTACATTATTACCTACATTTATAAATCAAATACAAGCGCAGTTTGTAGTAAACTTTTACATCGCTGCAGGTATACAAGCTCTACAAGAAGGGGAGATGCTTGGAGATAATGGACCCAGTGTTGTTGCAGTCTGCCATCAAGGAAGAAGTGACAATGTGCATACAGATTGGTTTACTATGCACCCAAGCTGATCCACAGCTACGGCCCACCATGCGACGTGTGGTGGTCATGCTGTCTAAAAAGCCAGGCAGTCTTGATGAAGAACCAACAAGACCAGGATACTTGGGGTCTAGGTACAACAGAAGACACCACCGGCCTGCCATAACATCCTCAAGCGCATCATATTCTGGTACATTTGGGTCCACCATTGATAGCGTCAGCCCTAGTGCAAGCATAACAACTACTCGTACAGGCCCCACCAAATTAGAGCGTGGGAAATACCCTATACGAGAGTAGTCTCCACTTAAGTAGAGTGTAGTTATAGCCTCATATTGCTTCATTCTTTCGTGTATATGGTGTTTATATTGTTATTTACGGCATGCGAATTCTTTATTTAATCTAGAGCTGAATGCCTGTGAATGTGCGGAACTGGTCCTTAGTTATTCGGATCACAGTTAGACAAAAACTTGTTATAGACTTGGAGCTCATTTTTCAAGTTCATTGAAATAAATGAACCAGAATACCAGACTATAGGTTAATGATGTTGGGTTTGTAGCTTGGAACTCGCTCGTAAATAGAAAACAAGTAGTCCCGCATGAATGGAATTTGCGTGCAAGGTGTAGTTATCTGTCATTATGTTGAGTATCATGACAACAGAATTCAAAGAATCATGAACCTTTGATGCTTTGGAATTCTAGGCCATACTAATAATGCTCTCTAAAGATGCCCTAACTCCTAAGTAGAGAGTAGAGACTGGAGAGTACAAAAGGCGAAGATGGAATGGATGCAGACTCAATGGTCTAACAACATTATATCTATGAATGATAGTTTGTACTTTGTACCAATGGTTTATGTCAATATATTATATGTATAAGAACTTTGTCCATTGTTTTTTTAAAAAATGGTACCTTACTCTTAACATGGCTTCTTTACCCTTTGCATGCGGTCACATTTTTATCCCATAAGGTCAATTTTTTTTAACATATCAGCTTAAAAACTCTCCCACGGTTTAGCTTTAGGTCAAATAGATAAATGAAGTATCTTAAAGTTTGCTTCAAGTTCTTCACAAGTGGCTACAGGAGGTTGGAACTTGGAATGTTCGAATTGCCACCCGGAATCTTTGGAACCAAATAATTATACATTGAATGACTATAAATCCAATAATTACCATGACCTCGTCATTTCATACGTTTTATCTTTACTCAGCAAAGCAGCAAATTAGATTAGATATAATCCATATGGAATTATGTTGAAGTTCAGAAGTTTGTATTTTTACGTGCGTACTCCTATTCCCCTTTCCCTTTGGAAATTTTATTTGTTACGAGTATATGTTAATAATTATTCTCTATCTCTAATTCTCAAATTTAATCACAGTTCCTTATTTAATTTATGGATACACGAAGACATGGACGGAGCAAGGATGTTGGGCCGGACTGGATCGGTACAAAGAATATTTTTGAATTTTTTTTATATAAATTTTTTTAAATTTGAGGTGGGGCGGGGCCTAGGTTACCTCCCGGGCTCCCTTAGCTGTGCCCCTGCACGAAGAGACGACACAACCTTCTTCAGTTCAGCCACCAGGGGAATAGAGGGAAATAGTCTGGTCATGTTTAAGTTTAACTAGACTACTTTTACGCTGCATTATTAAACTTTGAGTGCTTTATTACTGAACTGAAGCAATCATGGATTGTAGACACCATTAGATTTTTGAAGTTCTTAATCCAGAAACCATTACTTGAAGTGTAATAGTTGAAGACTTGAAGTATAATAAGAAAAGATTATGCTTTTCTTGTTGACTATATATAAGCGCATATTCGATGGCTGTAACTCAGGTACAACTGCACAAGCAATATGTGAATATGTGATTAGATGTTTTTCCATTTGTTACTCCGGATTAGGGCTGTTAACGAACCGAGCTTTTATCGAACTATTCGAGTTCGAGCTCGGTTTCGAACCTAACGAGCTGAACTTAACAAGCTTTCGAACTCGAACCCCAGCTGAGTTTTAAGTTCGAAATATTAATCGAGCCGAGCTCGAACATAGTAGTATTAGGCTCGGTTCGAACTCGAGCCTATCGAACACCCTGAAAGTATAAATATAATTTATATATAATAAAAATTTAAATATAATTAGTATGATTTTAAGCATTTAAATATGTTTATTAACGAACCGAATACTTGTCGAATCATTCGAGCACGAGCCTATTAACGAGCATCACCTAAAATTTTAAAATCGACCATATTTATCGAGTTTAACGAGCGCTCGGTTCGAACATCGAACGCCTATCGAGCCGAACACGAGCCTCATATTTAAAGCTCGCCGAGCTTCGAGCTCGAACCCGAACACCATTAATTCCTTATCGAGCCGAACTCGAGCTTTAGGTGTTCGGGCTCGGCTCGGCTCGTTAACACCCCTACTCCGGATAACTTATCAAGGTTATGTGTTATGGAATTAGTTAAATTATACGGAGTACTTTTTTCATAAGTTTATTTTGTGATCTTTCAGCAAAAAAACACCAACTCATACATTTAAGTTACATTTTACAGCATCCTTAAATCAAGTGGGGTTTCGAGGACTGTAATCTTTAACAGCATCCTTAAAAAACATCCTTAACTCAACTAGCAAATAAGCAGTAGCGGTTTCTCCAAAGTGGGGTTTTCTACTGTGTAATTTTTAGATATTAAGGATGTTTTTACTTGTAATCTGTCCCAGATCAGACCCAATTAGATCAGATAATTATAAAAATACAAAGAAACCAGACCAGCCCAACAAATTGAGCCTACAAAAACTGAAAACCGTTTTTGAGCCTAACAAATCTAGTTATTCCATCATTTTGAGCTTCGACATAGAGATGAAGAAGACCAATCTGTTTTGAAGAGATGAGAACTACCACTGGTCCACTGAGGGTAACATTGTGTTTGGGGAAAAATTGAGGGATAAAATTTTTCTCATTTCATATACAGTACTATACTAGAACTAATGAGGCCAATCTGCAGAGTCACGTAATTCTTAAAAACTTTAGGCACATTTCAACACAATATTTGATGGACTGCCAATGTACTAAAAACAAAAGAAAACTTGTATAAAGACTCACATATAATATGTGCTCATACACGTATAATAATTTTATAAAGAAATGTGTGCATGTATCAAATAATATTTGTTGAGGTTTTGTCCCGTAGATCCAAAAGCCCAACACACGCTTTGGATATCTAAGGATGTTTGTTGTGGTTAAAAGATGTATAAAATATAGAATAGTGACTTATCAATGAACTCAGAAGCTATCTTGTACGTAGTATTAAGTAATTCTGCGATTACACTGAAACTACCCGAACGGCTAGTCGGTGTGAGTTTAAATACAAGAACAAGAGAGATGATTCTATTTCTAAGCTCTGAGTATGAAAATGCTAACCCTTTACAATGTATTAAACGCATGTAGGGTGGGTGAGATGTACACGTGGCCGAACCCGGTAGGTTGTTATCTCTGCCACGAGTGCACCCATGCCTCTACTTGCTATTGCCATAATTCAGCATTAAATGCGGCTCCCACTTGCTGACTACCCGTCCGGGTAGTGCGTTTCGGCGTGCGGGACCCCTTTGTGGGTGTTTGGATGCCAGTACTTTGTTTGATTGTCTCAAGTGAACAAATCTACCCGAATGCTGTTCAGGTAGCCCCCGTTCGGGACGTCTTGGACCTTTCTCATTTCGTTGGGCTTCCTGTTTTCCCTGGGCCTTCTTTATGCTTTGGGCCGGGTGTATTGGGTTTGGGTCCAATATCCCAACAATATTTTCATCTAAAGATAAGGGATGTAGAGCCAATAAGGTATATTTTTAATAATTTTATAAAATATATTCTATTTTATGAAAGACTCGTTTTTTAATTTTGTACAACAAATTGTGTAAGAATTAAAATAAGTAAGGTTGTATTTATTTTTCTGCTATATTTTATGAAACATTATTTTGAATTATAAAAAAATTACAATGTTTTATTTATTTTATTAATAAAGTATATTAAAATATACTTGTATAAGTTTTAAATAGCTAAGTTCTCTCTCTAGGGTTTGGCGGAAGGCGCAGCTTGTCTACGATAAGGTTTGTGGTGCCACAATCTCTTTTGACGGTGTGGCTAGATTTTGATCGGTTGTTTCTTTTTGCGATTGCAACGAAAGGGAAGAATGGAGGAGGTGGATGCAGGGTTGATGTGGAGCTCAACTGGTGTACCGGTCCCCTCTGAGAGAGGGCGTGCGGGTTCAAACAGAAAGGTGGGTTTTGGCATTGCCGCTGTGGTTGAGTGGTCGAGTGGACCAGGGAGCGGTTGTGAAGCACAAGGGTGGGATGGGGGCTGCGGACAAAGGCGAAATTGTTGACCCGACCTCTTCCTGAATCACCGCCATGGAGTGAACGTGTGTCTAGGGCGGTTTGGAAAAAGAAGATTCAAGTTTGTTTTATTCTTATTTCAAGTTTTATGTTTCTTTCGTTTGACGATTTATCTGGCTCTGTTTGTGTTTGTGATAGTTTTGAAATGTCTAATTTAGTCATGATCAAAGATAATTACCTCGAAACTCCCATATGTTCACGAAAAAGCTTCACTCAATTTTGGGTAAACTTTTCTATATCTGATAACGGACGAAGAGGATCATTTGATTCTTATGAGTCTAATAAAGTGGTGAAGAGTACGGTGACCTTAAGAGTCTATAAGAACTCTTTGTTGCCTATTTGGTGGTCAGTGATTCGTGTTGCTGCTGCAGCAGATGTGACCGTCTCAGAATCTGATCATAGGATGTCTCTTGAGTCTAGATGTAATAATTTGTTGACAGATATTGATAAGTCCGTATTTTGACACGCATTTGATGTGTGTTGAGACCGGCTTTTGATGATTTTCATATCTTTAAGGTGTTACAAATTTTAGCTCAAGTTATGTTTACTGGGCGTTGGTTCGAGTTTTGTGTTGTTTGTAGTCAAAATCAGGGAATTTGAGCCCGGTACCGGCACTTGAGGAACAATCGGGATGATTTGAGAAGCATTTGAGAATGATTTGATAGCTTTGGAGGTCACCGAAAGATTCACGATGAAGATTTGAAGGAAAAAGAGCTCTAGGATTGGCTACGGGGTCAAAAGAAAATGAATGAAGATTGAAAACGACGATCAGGATGACCTTCTGTCAATCGTTTAAGCATATCTCTTTTTAGAAACATCCAATGTATACTATTCAAGTTCCATAGGAAAGCCAACTTCAAGGGCTACAAATCATATGAAGACACCTTTGCGAATGTCCTTGAAGTGTTTAGGCTTAATTGCTTGCATGATAACTTGGTTTTTGAAAGGATGAAGGCATTAGTCACTCATTGAATGAATGAACAATTTTCCCATTTGGCCTGAATAAGTTCCTTTAGGAGAAGCCACTTTGAGCCTGACCGTTCTTTGTTACCCAATTAATTGAGCTTCATAGCCAAATGACATGTTTCCTTACCCGTGAATATTTCTGGCTTAGTCTTGATGTTTAGGGAATTAAGGGATTAATTTGCTAAGTTTAGGGAATTTTGTGTAGGAGACATTTTTGGCACTGTTCCTATGCTCCAAATGGGGTAAGAGCAGTCACTTTTTAGGAATTTCATACTTTCGAGGATTGCATTGTAGACATGGATTCACTTTTAAATTAATGAACTTTAATTGCTATTTTTCCTTGGTAAGGCCGAGATTAGAATGGGGCAATGTCTAGTGAGAATCCGAAAGGTGAAAAATTAATATAGCTAGACCTCTTGCCTTACGAAAAAGAGAATGAGAGCCCCAGTCAAAAAGCGTAAGATGAGACTTGGGTATCTTTCGAAAGAAACGGTGTTCTTGTGCCAACATGACAAGGGAAACTAAACTTAAATTAATGAACTTGGAGGCTATCTCAAAATTTAGTTTTAGTCCTCC